GTGGGGGATCTGGGAGGGGTTGGGCACCCCAGAGCCTGCTGCCCTGGCAGGCTGTCAGTGGGGTCACTCCAAAGCCACACTGAGCAGCTGGAGATCAGAACCAGCTCCTGGAAAAGGGACAGGAAGGTGGTCCTAGCTAAGGTGGAATAGATTTGCAAGTGATCTTTTGAATATTTTCTCTACATGTGCCTTATCTAACGGAATCATAGTTCGTGGAGGAGAATCCCCTTCCCCTCATCCCTGCGGAATTCCCCATTAACTCGTCCTGTGTCACTGTAAATAATGAGGGAAGCACAGCCTGGAGTCTGCATGACCCATGTTTCCAGGGCCAAACTGGAGGGCAGAGCCTCCCTGAATTTCAGTTTACAAGCAGCACTGACCCCCCGCTGCAGGACCAGGCTCTGGGACACGGAATGTGCTCCCAGCACCAGGGGTTCTTCCTGGCGAGTGTGGGATGTGCTTGGGAGCACGAGTGCTTGGAGCCTCCTTCCCAGAACACATTGTGAAGCTTTTTAGGTGCCTTTGTCTTGTGTCAAGTGTAATTTTAAGTGTTCTTTGTCGCTTGCCATCGGAGTGATACAAGAACTGCCTGGCGTTGACTCCCTGGAAATACGATGGATGCACTACGGGGTGAGGGGGATTGATGGGCTTGAAGGTGACATTGGCCACCCTTGGGTGCACCATGTCCTGGCTCTCACGCCCCTTGGTCCCGATCTTCAGCCTCTTGCCAAAATTCTTCAAAACCCATTGGTTTCTGCCGTTTTTTAGCGTGTCAGGTCGGAGGTTTCGAGGGAGCCAAGAGGAGAAGCGTTGCTGGGGACTCCACATGGATAATCTGGGGGGGCTGTGTTTAAGCTCCCACCCCCAGCCACACTGACAGTGCTTGGTGCAAGGGGAGGGGGTGCTTGGGAGCTGAAATGGCTGCAGCTGGACACCAAAACCACCCCCCATTAGCTCCGTGAACCCCAGGTGGGATCTGCCACCTCATCCCCCTCCCTCCCCCTCAATGCCACAAACCGTAATTCCAGAAAGTCAAACCCCCCCCACGCTGCCTGAACAACTTATTTTGTGGCTTTTGTTTGTTTGTTTTGGGTTTGTTTTTTTTTTTTTGGACTCCTCTATATGTTTTTAAATGTTTACATTATAGATTTCTAAGAGTTCTTAACCCCAGCAGGCCGGGCCTGGCTCCTGCCCCGGCCGGGCTCACGTGGCCGTGTCCGTGTGCGATGTCTCGTGTCACCCGTGGAGCTCTGGGTTCTGTTTGTGTTTTTCTCCTGATCACAAGACAATAAATGCTCATCCTGTGCTTGATGAGGAGAACTGGCCGCATCGGGGAAGTGTCTGTTCCTAGGTAACCAGAGTTATCTGGCACAGGGAAATGGCAAAAATCTCTCCTTTTCCTCCCAAAGTCTCCCACTGCATGTTGTTTTTCGGGGAGAGAGCACGTTGATGGATGAGGCTCATCCTCTGTGCTGGGCACTGCTGGGAGTGGTTTGTGCTCTTAGAGAAAAGGCCCCACCAGCTTTTACCAAAGCTGCTGCCCATTATTCTCATTTTCTGGCAAGAGGTGGGTGGTGGGGAGAAAGTCCCATCTCCCAAGCACTGGGGTCGAGTTTTTCCTGCCCTCTCCACAGTCCTGGTGTTTGCCTTCCCCAGTTTATTGCCCCAGAGGAGACTCTTATCCCTGGAGTAAATGGGCTGTTGGACAGTGAAGGTGAGTCTGTTCAGCACGTGGCTGAATTTATTGCCCCAGATTAGAATCCCAGAATGGTTTGGGTTGGAAGGGATCTTAAATCTGATCTCATCCCACCCCCTGCCATGGGCAGGGACACCTTCCACTAGCCCAGGTTGATCCAAGCCCCGTCCAACCTGGCCTTGGACACTCCCAGGGATGGGGCAGCCACAGCTGCTCTGGGAAACCTGTGCCAGGGCCTCCCCATCCTCACAGCCAACAATTCCTGCCCAATATCCCATCTCACCCTGCCCTCTGGCAGTGGGAAGCCATTGCCCTTGTCCTGTCCCTCCATCCCTTGTCCCCAGAGTCTCTCCAGCTCTCCTGGAGCCCCTTTAGGCCCTGCAAGGGGCTCTCAGGTCTCCCCTCTCTTCTCCAGGTGAACATCCCCAGCTCTCCCAGTCTCTCTCCATTGCAAAAGGGCTCCAGCCCTTGGAGCATCTCCATGGATTCTCTGGATTCATTCTCACATCTTCCTTGTGTTGGTGGCCCCAGAGTTGGACACAGAACTCCAGGTGGGAATATGGGAGTTACCATATTGTGGCTTCACACCCCACTTCTGCTCCGTGGCAGATCTTTAATCCCAAAAGAGCTGTTTCCATCACAGCTGCTGATGCAGCATCTGCCAATCTCAGTGTCTTCCTCATCCCCAAAGCCCTGTGCCAGGTGCCCCTGCCCAGCCCTCCCCACTCCGCTCCCACAGAGGTTCCCTTCAGCTGCTGCTGTGCCCTGAGCATGGGAATGAAAAGGATTTTCCTTAAATTCTTGCTCCAGGCCCTCAAAATCTGAGCATGAGGCACATTTTCAACTCCTGCTCCAGCTGCTGCTCAGGTAGGACCTTGGCCCTTGTGAGCCACGAGTTCTTTGATTCCCTCACCCTCGGGACAGGGCAGGATTTGCCAGGAAGGTGGGAACGGGGGTGTTGTGCAGCCAAGCTCAAACCCCCCCACCCCAAGGAGCTCCCAGAAGGCTCAGGATCCCCAGGATCAGGGTGTGAGGGATGCTGCCAGGGCCTGGCTTTTCCTTTTGTCTGGTTCTTGCTGTGTTTTTGTTCCTCTGCAGCCTCCCAGGCCCTGATGTTCTGCCCTGGGAAGGTGTCCCCCACCTGCCCCTGGAGCAGCTCGTTCTCTCCCGTGCAGTCACAGTGGCTCCTTTGTGTTGTTGTCTGCTTGGAAATGAGCCCCAATTGTCCTGTGCCTGCAGAAGGGCAGGGTTTGGAGCTGGATGTTTTCCTGACACAACTTCCCTGGCTTTCCTCACTCCCCGGTTCCACAGCATGAGCTGTTGTGTCTCTGCACACCTTTGGCACCCCGTGTGTTCACCGCTGCAGATTTGCCTTGAAATAAAGCCAGAACTCCTTTCTTTCCCCTCCCCCCTCTTCTGCTCCAGAGGATGGTTAAATTCTCCAGGCAAACGCCTGAACAATTGTGAGTTCTCAAAGTGCTCGAAATCGCGCGGGGTGGGGGATGGTGCAGAGGGGGAAGGGAGGGCGGCTCTGCCCTCGGGTGCTTCAGGGGTGATTTTATCTCTCTGGGGGCAGGACGTGGGGCAGAGCCCCTCACCAGCCTCCCGAGCGCCATCACAGCACAGGGAGCAGCTGGAATTCACGTGCGGAGTAGCTCGGAATTCTCCTGATTCTTTTGTAGAAGCAAACACCTGCAGGGAAAAACCCTTCAGCTCAATGTCGGGGAGAGGGGGAGAGAATTTCCCTGGAAGGTTTTTCTCCCTGGAGAGAGAATCCACTCGAGCAGCTGGAAACGGGTACTTGGGGTGATGCTGATGCTGAAGATCTGATTCTGTCCCAAACCCACACAAACTGAGCCCATTGCCAGGAAATGTTTTTGGGGTGAATCTGCCCCGTGCCACGAAGAAGATGAGAGAGAGCAGGGCGGTTGTGCAGGGGAGCCCTCGCCCCCCAGCGTTACTCCGAAAGCCTCAAACAGGGAAGAGAAGGAAACAAACGTCTGGCTGTGCCTTCTTTTGCCAAGGAAGCGCAGGGAGGGAATTTTTATGGCCAAATGATGGGTCAGAATAATTCCAAAACCAAGGAGAGTGAAAGGTTTTAGGAGGTGGCAGCAAGGGCTGTCCCTGCCCAGCTCCTGTCCCAGCACATCCCACAATCCTGGAGCTCTGTCTCCCTTGGAGAGGCTTTGCCTGGGCTGATGTTCTCAAAAAGGTGTCAGTCCCTGTAAAATCCCAGCCCCTGATCTCCCTCTGCCCCCATGGGATGGGGTACAGGGCTGCAGCCCCTCTGTGGGACCCCCAGCCTCAGTCCCCCTCCCCACAGGCTGCCCTGGAGGGCCCAGAGTGGGGCTGGATGTGTGGGGGGGGTTGTGCCCTAAAATGGGGGCTGTGGCACAGAGTGGGGCTGTACCCCCAAAATAGGGCTGTACCCCTGCACAGGGGCTATACCCTAGAAAGGGGCTGTACCCCCAAAATGGGGGCTGTACCCCCAAAATGGGGGCTGTACCCAAAAATGGCCTGCACCCCCGCACAGGGGCTGTACCCCAGAACAGAGGCTGTATCCCCAAATGGGGGCTATACCCCTGTGCTCTGCTGGCCACACACTCAGGCCTGTCCCTACAGCCGGGCCGCTGCACCCCAACCCTCCCGCTGTCCCTCGCCGCAGCCCTGCCCCCGCCGGGAGCACGGCGCCCTATCGCCAGCCCAGTCGCGACAACCCACGCTGGGGCCACATCCCGAAGTGTGTTCTGCCCTACGTGGGTCCCTCCAGCGCAGCCGGACCCCTGTGGTGTAGCAGCACCGCGGGGCCCCTGTCGCGACAGCGCCGCGTGTCCCGACAGCGCCGCGGCGTTAACGTCCAGGAGGAGCCGCCGCCGTAAAGCGCAACCGCCGCAAAGCCCGCGCGGCGCCCGCCGCGATTCCCGAACGCGCCCTGCGCCAGCGCCGCGGGCCCCTCCGCCCCGCGGGCCGCATTCACAGCGGCGGGTACGACAGCGGCGCAGGGCTCCGCCAGCGCCCCGCGCGGCCCGTACGCCGTTAGCGCAGCGCGGGTCTACGCCGTTGGCGCAGCCCTTACGCCTTTAGCGCGGCCTTTACGCCGTTAGCGCGGCGCGGGCTCTACGCCGTTGGCGCAGCCTTTACGCCGTTAGCGGAGCGCGGCCCTTACGCCGTTAGCGCAGTGCACACTTTACGCCGTTGGCGCAGCGCGGACTTTACGCCGTTGGCGCGGCCCTTACGCCGTTGGCGCAGCGCGGACTTTACGCCGTTGGCGCAGCGGCCGGCGCAGGGGAGGCTGAGGCGCTGAGAGCGGGGCCGGGCCGGGGGCGCCGCCGCCATGGGGGAGCGGCCGCGGGGCAGCGGCGCCGCCGCCCGGCGCTGAGGGACCCGCCGAGGTAACGCCGTGAGGGCGCCGCCGGGGAGGGACCGGGAGGGACGGGGGGACGCCGCTCGACACGGCCCGGCAGCGCCGGGAGGGACGGGCCGCGCCGGGCGGCGCCGCGGGCGGGGGCGGTGGGGGCGCGGGGAGGGGAGGGGGCGGTGGGCGCTGAGGGGGCGGTGGGCGCTGAGGGGGTGCCCCGGCTTGGCACGGAAGGCTCGGGGGTGGTGAGGGTGAGGAGGGGGTTGGGACGGGCCCGGGGGTCGCGGGGGGTGTGTGGGGTCCGGCGGGATCGAGAGTGGGGGGGGTTCTGAGGTCGGGGATCGGCGGGTTCCGGGCCGGGGACTGAGGGCCCGGGGCCGCCTCGCCCCGTGCCCTCCCGGCCGTGCCTGTTCGGTGGCCCGCAGGGAGGGGTTCAGGCCCCCAGAAAGGAGCTCAGCCCCCCAGGGAGGGGCTCAGGCCCCCCAGGATCCCGTCGAGGCCGGGGGGGGAGCTGGGGATGCGGTCGGATCGTCCCCCCCGGCCCGCACCCTGCCCCGGCCTGCAGGATGTTGGCTCCTTTGTATGTGGCTTTTCCTCTCTCTCACCAGAGGGGTTTGGGAAGTGTTTATTTTGGGGGGGGAAAGGGCCTGTGCCGAACGTGGTGTTTAAAACGGATTTTTTAAATTTATTTTTATTTTGTTTTCTTCAGCGAAGCGGGTGAGGATGAATGTGAGAAACGGGAAAAAGTGCCCTCCCCCCTCCTGCCCCCAGCAGACAGGAGCTGATCCGGGCCGCTCCTGAGGTTTGCAGGGGAGCAGCAGCTCTGCCGGGGAGGCCCCGTGGCTCCTGTCCCTGGCTGGCAGGAGGGAGCTGAGCCGGGGATCCGAGCCTTGGATCCCGGGGAGCGAACAACGGGAAGCCGTGGGGATGGTCAGGAAGGTGCCTTTTCTTTTGTGCTCTGAGGACTTGCCGTGTTTGGTGCATTTTGGAAGTTAAAACCCAAAGTTTGACAAACCCCTTTGGAGTTGCCACCTTAGTCCTTTCCAGACAGTTCGAGGTAACCAGGACACGGGTGGAAAGGTGTGTAAAACCTTTGGAAGTCGCCTCGTTAACCAAATCCATTCGTTTTCCCTCTGCACAACAAGTGGTTGCAGATGTGGAAGTGCAACCTGAGCAGTGTGGAAGTTCACCTGCCCAGGCTGCCACACGCACAGAGTGCCCCCATCTCCCCATGGCCACGCCAGGGGCTTAAAAAGTGGGCCTTATGTAACAGATTGGAGCAAACGTTTGGTGTTTGCCAGTGGTCTGACAAAGAATTGCTGCAAATTAGGGCAGGAGGCCTCCATGGGGAGCCCTCGCCGTGGCGGGATAGGCTTGGCTGCTGGGAGGAACTTGCCAAAGATTTGTTGGTTTTGTTTTAATTTGGTGCTTTGCAGATAGGGACGTTGTTTGGGCGGTGTTCTGTCGCTCCCTGGGCACCTCTGGGGCACTGGGAGGGTCGTGGTCCTGTGGTGCAGAGTGGTCTGACCCCAGTGCGCTCAGGTTTGTGGGGGCACGAAGTTTGGGGGGCTGTAAGGGTGACTGGCCTCCCATGCCTCTGCCTGGGGGTTTGATCTCCTCCCTGCTGGCTGACAGATCTGTGAGGCCTTATAAATCACTTATAACTCCCTTAAAAATCACCTGGGTGGTTCCTTTGCCTCCCTGCTTTGCTGCTGTGCCCACACACCCGGGGTGCAGTCGGTGGTGGTTTGCAGGGGACACTTTGTGTCCAGCAGCTTCTCCAGGCCCTCGGGATGGATCTGCGTGCCCTGCCCTTGCAGCGGGGTGCGTGCTGGGTGCTCTTGGTGCAGCTCCTCAGAGGAGGAGGAGGAGGAAGTTGGCCCTGGCAGCTGGGCAGGCTCCTGGGCACTGCTCTCCCGGTGCGCCTTGTTTTGTATTCTGTGTCCGAGCTCCTGGGCAGCTCCGGGTGTTGTCAAAACTGTTAATACGGGAGTGACTCAGCGGATCAATGGGAGTGACATGAGGGCTGTGCTCATGGACAATCGGTATTTTTTCCCCCTCCAGCCCCACTGGGCTGGAAGAGACCGTGTCTGAGAGCAGCTGCCAATAAACATCTTTACTGGACTCGGGCCTGATTGTGCTCTGGAGCTGTCTCCCCCTGCCCGCTCCCCCTCTCCCCTGGTTTTCCTGGCTTGGAGGAGCTGGGATGAGCTGTGCTGGAGCAGCACTCCTGTGCCGTGGCTGGTCCCTCCAGGTGTGTGCCCGGGCACTGTTACCAGGCCCAGGCCCTGTGTGAGCCAGTGTGGGTAGGAAGCTGTTTATCTCTGCTTTCAGACAGGAACTGCAGCTCTACAGGCACTGAAGGCTCAGTGGGAGGGGTGAGGGAGCCTCGGGAGAGCAGCAGCCCCTGAGACGCTGCTGTGGGGTGTGCAGGGGTGGTGGGGTGTGCAGGAGACCCTCCCCGCTCTCAGCAGGGCCGTGGGGTTTGGTACCAGCACACGGTGGCCTGGTTTGCCCTGTGCTGCTCCCGTGACTTCCAGCTGCAGTTCAGGGAGTCAGACCCTCCTCCCTCGTGGTGCTGCTGAGCGGGGCCAGGCCCGGGTGCCAGCTCAGGAGCCTCCTCGGTGTGCTTGCCACGGCTTTCAGCTCAGAGCTTGTGGGAGCAGCTTTGCCCACAGCCCTGTAATTGGGCTCTGCCTGGGCAGACGTGGCTCGTCGTGGGCGCAGTGAGAAGCTGTGAAGCTGAGCCTCCTTCCTCGGCCCTGCCTGGGTTTGGCTGTGCCCTGTGAGCTGGGAAGGGGAAGGAGGGAGAGCAGGTCCCAGCAGCTCTGGGATTCCACTGGAGAACAACTTATCTTCCTGCCAGAAGAGCTGTGTGCCTGGGAATAGTTTGGGGTTTTCACCAGAGTGGCTGTTTCTGCGTCCTGCTGGCAGGTCTGTTGCTGTAGAGAAGCAGCAGCTTTGGTGTGAGGAAGGTGTAAAGGTGTAAAGGTGACTTTCCTTGGGGGCAGCTGAGTGTGGAGCATCAGGCTCCCTAATTCACACCAGCCACCCTCCATCTCCTGAAGAGTTCTTCTAAATCCCTGCCCAGGCTGTAGCCCTGCAGCCCTTCCTGTGGGCAGCCCCTCCCTTGCCTGTTACGTTGGTGCATTATTCCTAATAACTGGCCTTAAAACAGCAGCCAGGGCATCAGGAACTGTGGTGACAGGACAAGGGAGAATGGCTTCAAACTGAAAGAGAACAGGTTTGGGTTATATGTGAGGGAGAAATTGTTCCCTGTGAGGGTGGGGAGGCCCTGGCACAGGTTGCCCAGAGCAGCTGTGGCTGCCCCTGGATCCCTGGAAGTGTCCAAGGCCAGGTTGGATCAAAGGAGCAACCTGGGCTAGTGGAGGTGTCCCTGCCCATGGCAGGGGGTGGGATGAGATGAGCTCTCAGATCCCTTCCAACCCAAACCATGTGTGATTCCCTGCATGGAGCGGAGGTGCTCCAGCACACCCCTGCCTTGTCTGTCCCACACTGTCAGGTGCTGGGGTGACACACGGGGCTGCCCTGGACCCGCAGTGCTCAGAGCTGTGACCCCCAGCCCCGGGTGATGCCGTGGGTGTAAAACCACAGGCTGTCTCTGTGCCTTCCTCTCACTGTACTCAGAGCCCTGTGTGGTTCAGGAAATGACTCTCTAGGTGAGCTGAAACGGGGTGTTCTAAAATACTACATGGAGCAAGAAGTCCGTGGTTTTATCCACTCCCAGAGTTTGGAGTAGAGGAGTTCAATTAGTTCCATAAACACTTTAAATTGGCTCCTCTGGTTCCAGAGAGGATGGGCAGGAGTTTGCCATGTGTCCAAGGAAGATGTCCGGGTGCCCATGGAGTCTGTCTCCCGCTGGGAGGTTGGTAGCACTGGCATTTCCAAGTGGTGTTCTGCTGGCGTGTGCCTCCCCTGCTGAGGAAACATCCTCACTCATAGGAAATGCAGGTCTTGGTGTCTTGAAACCAAGTGTCAGTGAAACCAAGTCCTCTCATAAGCTCATGTGCCAAGGAGCTGAGCTGGTGATGTGAGGGGAGCCTGGAGTCCTGTCCAGCAGAGCTGCTCTTAGACTGGGGAAGGATTCCCTGGGCCACAGGCTGAGATCTCACCTTCCTCCCCTGTTCCCATGAGGGATCAGAAACACATCCCCTGCTGTCTGGTGGGGACAGCGTTCTGAGAGAGAGCTGGGAAGTGCTGTGTCTTGTTTAGCGTCTGTGGCAATAAGCTGGATGTGAGAGCAGGATTTGGGATGAGCCAGGACACTGTTGCCTTGGAAATAAGGTGCTCCTTGGGCTCCCCGGGGTGTTGGAGACACTGAGGGTCTGGAGGAAAGAAGCGTTAATTTTTGAGTCATTCATTCTTACGTGTCCACCAAGCAAAGAATGTCCTGTAGCCCTTTGTTATTTAATGTTATGTAATGGTTTTTAATGAGGCAGGCCTGGCCTTTGCTTTCCCCCTGGTGAATGAGACAGTTGGCAGGTGATGGCCGGGCTTTGTCAGCCTGAGAGGGATGTTCTTAAGTTAATAAACAGGGGTTAAGGTTGGTCTTGAACTTGGATTTTGTGAAGCTTTCCTCTGGAAGAGCTTTGCAGCCCTGCAGCTGAGCGGCCCCGAGCAGCAGGATTGGTGCTGGGAGGGGTCTGGGGGCTCCCTGGGAACACAGCCAAATCTCTGGGGGTTCATTCCCCTTCCCAGACTGGGGGCTGGAAAGTCTTGCTAAGAGGGGCTGCTCCCTGGGTGTGGGGGCTGAATGACAGGCTTGGAAAGGTCAGTGGAAATCCAGTTTAAACCAGAACAGAGCTGGGATTGTGCTACAGAAGCTCCATCCTTGCAGGCTCTGTCACTGCCCGACGTTTCCAGGTAAAAAAATCTCGCTGCTTTTGAGGCAGCACCGAGGTACAAACAACAAAGCAAGAATCCCTTTCTCTTTTCCTTTTTTTAGCAGGGACTGTTGGCAGCGATGGAGTTTACAGTCTGTGCCTGGTTCCCCTGGTTGGATGCGGGGAGGGG